ACTCGTAAAAATAGCTGTATGCAAAAGCTTTATGACTCTTGAGTAGTGTTTGTTATAGGCTATCAGAAGTCAGCAGTTTCCATATTCCTATCCATTTCCCTAAACTAGTATTAAGTGACTAGTAGAGACACTGATTAAAAACATTCAGTTTTGTTTTGCTGGATTTATAGTTTGCTCACAGTGGTGACATTTATAATCAATTCAGTAATAACGAACAGAAGTCGAAGTTCTCACAAGTTGTTCCTCTTCGCCAAGATCCCATCTATGTACAACTTCAACCTTTTCACTTGTAAGGACTTTTGTAATTGTTTCGGAGCTGTTTTTGGGGCAGATTTACAAGTCAACAACTAGAAAGGATAGAACAGAATGCTTTGCCCATATATATATGTAATTTGTATTGAGACTGGATGAATCTATGTTTATCTATCGTATGCTTAGCGTATATACCGTGTCACCGTAAAAATGATGATGACGGTGATAAAGTGGTGGCCAGTCTAATCATGACAAAAAATTTAAGCAGGACCAACCGACAGCCGATCGCTTAACAAATATGTAGGCGAAAATTGAGATGCATCGGGCATTCATTGAGGAGACCGTCACATGTCATCGCGCCATTGCCAGACCCTCTAGTGGAATCCAAATGGAAAGCGACGAGTTAGTCGTCCTAGGGTGACATGGAGGAGGTTGTGTGGGAGAGTTGGATGAGGAGATGAGAGATTCTGGGCAATAATTGTGGACCCAGCTGAAAAGGATGGCAGAAAAAAGAGGAGAGAGTGGAGATATGTTGTTGAAGCCAGCCCTATGCTACACTCGGAACCTGAGGGGGAAAAAGAACTTTCAATGATTGGAGCAAACTGAAGGCCTTATTCAGAGCCGATAACCTGAAGATCATTTGTTGGAGTCTTACTGCTACGCAGTTGTTTTTCAACGTTTCAACAGTATGACATTCTAATGCTACTTTGAACATGGAGGAAGATAGAACAAACACTGGTGCAGAATGTTATGGATCCATTTTATTATATTAGTTTCCCTTCACCTGTGTACACCCTATAAAATTTAATATAAAAAGAAGTTTATCGTCATGAATCAGTCCTCCGGTAAAGATTGTTGTAAGAAAGTCGCAGTGAAACAAAACATAAGGATGATAATGTTATCTTGAATTCAAGTATCGGTTTCTAGGGATTAGATTTGATTAATTGGTTATATGACTTCATCATGAGCTGATATCGGTTAGAGAACCATTGGAAAACCTTCATGGAGTACTGGACAGCTGTTTCCGTTGTCCTAGTTTCGGACGAAGTTTCTCGCATAAGATGGACAATTGTGTTGTTAGGTTGATGAGTTAGGGATAGTTGGACAATCAGCGATAACGATAACTAGAACTCAGGATTGGGAGGTCAAAATTTCTGTGAATACGAAGGTGTATGGAAGAGATTTTGGTATAATTCAGTGAATGGAATTCAAGGGATCATGTGAAAGTCAGGCGAAAAACGTTGGTGGTGTTGTTGGGATGTGGAAGTGATGAAATCAGAAGTCAAGATGAAATTCATTAGGATTGTCGAATTCTCTCAATGATTAAAGATGTTTTATGCATTGAATTTTGTAGTAAGTTCTTGTTGCGTCGGTGGCACAGCGGTTAGGAATCTCGCCGACCATGCACATGGTCCAGCATGAGAAGATAAGCTGTCTTTGGTCATAGGTGCCTGCATTCTATCTCCCGTGTGAAGTGGTATAATAAGGTGAGCATTATTGAGGTTAGGCGTCGAGTTCTAGGTAAGCAGGGGAAATCAATCGACGAGGTTGTGAAGTTACATAGACTGAGATGGTTAGGACATGTGTTACGTATGCCTAGTTATCGCCTTCCTCGACGAGCAATCTTAGCTGATATAGGGTCAGGCTGGAAAAGAGGTAGCGGCGGTCAGACCAAAACATGGCTTCATCAGTCAATGAAATCCACAACAGTTAGTTTAAGTCAGCCACGTAGGAAGGTGTAAACTTCCAGGTTGGGGTCCTCGGGACGGTAAAAATCAATAGTTGGAAACTATTGGTGACATGGCTCAAAATCGTTCTCAGTGGCGCAGATGCATTCACTCCTTGTGACTTATGATTTCCAATGAAACTGTTTCGTTCTTTGTTATTACTATTCCTTTGTGTTACACCTCTGTTTACTGTCTTTATTATGCATTTCTTGTACTTTCTTCTCTTGCTTCGCGTGCTACATGGAGTGTGGCGACTTGAACTGCTGCACATATGTGCAAAGTTCTATGTCAGAAACAGACAGACAGACATGGTCCGGAGTTTGATGCTCTACTGGCGCACACCTGATATCTGTGGTCGGTCTGCAAAATTTGGGCTACCGATATAACCTGCTGAAAATTCCATACTTGTACCAAAAATACGGTGTGGAATCAAGCTGTAATAAGTATGTAGTCGCTTCACTCTTCTTCTCTCTGAGCGTCAATAGTCTTGTACTCTCTTTTTTTTTTATTACGCTGTAGCTATTGAGAAATAATATTTAGCATTGATTTTTTATGCCAGACATGTGACACTCCTTTTCTTCTATCGTATTTAAGCAATATACTTATTGAAAACAGATATCACAACACATGGTCTTGTATTCCGTGTCATAGCATGCAAAACAATAGAGAGAATTTATTCTCCATGCTTATTAGAGTAGCATAACCAATTGAATTAAGTTATGCACGCTTAAGCGATCAGCAATTAATGTGTACTGGCTAGCTGCATGACTTCAATGGCTGTGCTAAGCCTTTTTTTTCATTGATTATTTTCATTGTCTCTCCTCTTTGTTAAATAGACAATGTTAATTGTCTTATCAATGATAAGCTATTTTGGCGTTTTAACAAGTTGTGCACCAAATTATCCATGGGTTATAATCTTACGACTGATCGTTGGGTTCGCTATTGGTGGTGCTAATAGCAGGTGAGTTTATCTACCTATTTAATACAAGCTAAACACTGACTATTGAGACAATGTTTTTTATTACATATAAGAAGTATAAAGACAGATCCTCTGATTAGACCAAATCTTGATATTGTAGTGGGCTCTTAATGCAGAGTGAAATATTTTGACGTGATTTCACTCTCTGAGCTTGGTGATTTGTATGCGAAGCTTACGTTGTTCTTCTAGATAACATCTTCAGTACAGGCTTCAGTATGAAGGGAAATTACTTAATTTCTTCATTATTATTGTTTCCTTTAGTTCCCAGAGGAACATATAGCTTCAGCCGCCCAAGTCTCCATTGCGTACAATTCTCTGCCAACGTCTTCATCTGGCTCCTCTTCTGCCTACATGCTTTCATCTCCTCTTCACATGACCTCTTCCATGTCACTCTCGCACTGACTACCAACTCTCCGATTTCCGTTTGGTTTCCACTCTAGCGATGGCCTAGTGTGTGGTATCACTTGATGGTTTTCTCAGAGTATGGTCAATCCAGTCCACCTTCATTTCTTACTGTTTATTTGTTGTAGAATTTTCTCCTGTTGGGTTGGTTCGCTCATTGCTAAAGATTCCACCCTGTTGCTGATCTTTTCTGGCCCGCCATCTGATCTTGAGTAGTATTGAGCCAAGACAGCTGTTGATGAAGGTCTGTAGTTTGTTCGAAGTGTCCTTCGTCACCCAGCGCTGGCCAAGTCTCTGATCCATATAGTAGCACTGAATTCACATTGGAGTTGTAAATCCGGATCTTATTTTTCATGCTTAACAGTGTTGTTGACCTCCACACAGACTTGAGGGTAATGAAAGCTTGACTTGCTTTTCCGATTCTTACTTTGATATTCTCGTCAGTTCCGCCTAGTCAGTAAGTAGTGTAATGTGTGCGTGTGTGTGTGTGTCTAGTCCTATGTTCTGTGCAGACTGAATTCTACCAGTCAAGCTTGCAGTGTGGCCACCATTCTAGGTGGCTCGCTATCACGAAATTAGATGGTTGGAGGCGACCGGCAAGAAGCCCCGCCTGACCTAGGTTTCGTGCTGCTTGGCATTGACCAGTCAGCAAGGCGTATCTGCAACCTGGAAGGAACTCATGTGCCTCCTTCTGAAATTCGAACCTGCGTCACACTGCGCTGCATTCAGAGACGTTACCACTGAGCTACTCGAGCTCACAATTGACCTCCTGTAGGACTGTATTGGATATTTTCGATTAGACACTAGTCAGTAACCAGTCTAATGTGTCGAGTCCTATCGTTTTTTCCTTCAAGTTCCCCAGTGGAACATAGGACTTCAAGCTAGTGGCTTGAAAGTTTCTGTAGGAGTGTTTATTTTACAGGATGGGGTTGCTAGCCTTATGCCCCACCTTTCCTTTTTACCAGGATTATTTCTGGCTCAGTGAGGTAAAGGAGTGCGTTGACCGGGGAACTAACCCGGACCATGTGCATGATCGGCGGGCGTTCTGACCGCTATACCACCGACGCACAGTTCCATCTTTGGTATCATATATATATATATATATATATATATATAGTTTCAAATTTATCGTACTATGCTAATAGCTTAACTGCTTTTAATAATAGAATCATCTTAATATGAACTTATGAACTAATATGAACTGCCACGGAGTGACAAAATTCTATTCTATTTTATTTTTCCATGTGTACGTTCGTTGCACTTTGTTTTATAGCTTTACATTATTGTCTGAATTTCTGACTGTTAAACATCGTGCCAAAGTTCTACTGGCTTTTAATGTAAGTCACTTATTCAGACAACATAACATGCACTTCCTAATAATAATAATAATAATCGTTTTTTATAAGTTAAATTTTGTAGTGTGTGTATTTGTAATTGACTACTGTTTGTTTTACTATTAGAGCATATTTATTTCCTAGCTATATGATAATGGCATGTGTCAGGTGATCCACAACGGAAATTTCACCAAGGCGTTCGAAGTGCATACAGAAGTAAGACAAGCTGACTGCCTATTTATTACCACAGATGATATTCCCAATCTTGTTGGACTGGATTATGCGGAAGACAGTGTGTGTGGCGGGGGGGGGGTTAGGAGACAGGAGTACGCTGGACCACCGATGAGAAGATTCCAAAAGACCTAGATTTCGCTTGTGGATGATATATGTCTAATGTCACACAAACTCGAAGACTTAAAGGCGAAAATCAACAAACTGGTGGAGGAAGCAGGCGGCGAAGACAGGACTGCAGGTGAACATAGTGAAGATAGAGGTGATGAAGATAACCAACCATTACCAACAGAAACAACAACCAACACCAATCACCATCAACAGGAGAGGTTTAACTGAGGTTATCTCCTTCACTTATCTGACTAGGAAGCATCGTTTCATCAAAGCTGGCCAGTGAGAATCGAAAAGGCAAGATACGCCTTCATCAATCTGAAATCAGTTTGGAAATCTTCTGCTCTGCACTCAGCAATAAGGAAAAAGATTGGGATTTTCAACACCAATGTCAAGTTGGTTCTTCTATACAGGTCAGAAAATTGCACTGTGTGTTACGAAAAGGATTTCCAGCATGTTACAGACTGTCGTCAACAGCTGCCTTCACTGGTTCCATGCTAAAGATCAAATGGCCAGAAAGAATTAGCAACAGGAAACTCAGATTGTCTGGGAACAAACCAACCAAGAGCCGATTGCTCAACAAATATTCTCGACAAAAAGTTTGATGTTCACTAGCAAATGACTGGAGGTTCGATTCCCGGCTGAGGCAATGTTCAACCCTGCCTGCTTAGCCGGTGGTAAACCCGATGAAGAGGAGAGAAGGATGGGCGTGAGGCTAGCAACCTCAACCCGTAAAATAAAAACACCACTCCTACTGAAACTTAGAAGCTCACGCCGAGTCCAGCACATTTCCCGAGTGAGTGATTTATAGAATAATGAAGATCTGTTATGCTTTTCCTATCTCGCTGTTGACCAATAAATTGCCCATACATCCACAATTTTCGTACCGCTTATTTGTTCTAAAACCTGTTTCGTGACAATATCGTAATATAAATAACGGACTTATTGGAAAAACAGCTGCGTCTACTTATTACGCTTTTGAAAACAACTAAGTAGATGTCAAAGATATGCCAGAAACCATTTAGAAGATAAACTGAAGTTAGACATTCAAGCATATATTGGACTGTTTCGTGATTGTCAACTCATTTCGTTTTACTTTTTACATCTGTTTGTTAAATTTTGTTTGAATGCGCTAAAGTACATTTTGGGTATATCTTAAAGTGGTTAGTCCAGAAAATTTTAAGGTGCTCTTAATGTTTCGAGAGCATTTCTAGAGCTACATTCTTTAATATCGATTGTCACTATTAAGGATACTCAGCAATGCCTATTATTAAAGAGATTAGTATCACAGGGATTCAGTAATATGCTCAGCACCAAGACCACTTTGTATATTAATCAATCATACACCAAAGGTACGTTGCGTAGATATCCTTTATTCGCTAGTATAGCCAACTGTCAATGTCGATGTTGCTGAATTCTGTAAACACTTACCGTCTGCTAACACAATATGCGGGTATTTTGGCTTAATCTCCAAATTCTATTGACAGTTGATATAAATACCAAAATCCCGGTTCATAGAGGTTTTCATTTGCAGTTACTAGCATACAAGCACACATACACCTTTAAATTTGGCATTGCTTCTTGTACCTAGGCTTTTTCTTTTTCCGTCGCCATGGTAATTTACTGCTGACTTGTGACTGTTGTGATGACACTACTCACTACCATACTTAGTTTGTAATAATACCATATATTATTGTTGGTGTTAACTATTTATTCTCCTTCTATAAATAGATTCTGCAGAAATTGAACATTTCGTATATGTGTGTGTGCATAGGTAATGAAAACCGTGCGTTGATGACGCTTAACTATTCGATATGTTTCGCTGTTTCACTCAGTTGATTGTTTATTGTCATTTTTACAGCTACATATTACAATCAGACCTTGTATTCTGTTGCTTTTTTTTCTTTCTTTTTCTTTTTTACTGGCTACGCGTTAGCAATGTTAGCACAAACAATCCCGATCATTTAACTCTTATTGATTTGTTGTTGTGTTTCCAATTTTGTTTTTGTTTTTACGCGACTATTGATTGCCTTAATTCAGTCGTATCACCACAAGTGAAATCTATTCGCTTTCATTCCTAATATTGTTTTCGTCAGCTTTTAAATTCCTCCCCCCCCTAGTTCCCCTTTTTCTTTCGAATCATTTGTTTTAACGTGTTGGCCATTAGTGGTGATTAAATTTTATTGCTAACCAATTATTATTATTATTATTATTATTAGGTGTTCTGGGCGTTTGGAAGTACATTTGAAGTTGGTTTGGCCTACCTGATTCTGCCAAGATTCGGCTGGAGATGGCTAGTATTTGCTTCAGCTGTACCATTAATGCTTTTCTTAATTTTATTGAAAGTAGGTGATCGTTCCATCTCTATTTTACTTTTTCTTTGAAGTATATTTTGATGTATAATAGAAAGTTGATCAATTGCCACTGATTTTTTAAGACAATGTAAACAGTGTTTATGTATGAATTGATGCTTAAAGGGTTGAAGGCAATCGACAAACCGCCTTAGACCTCTACGTTTTGTGCTTGCCTAGGTGACAGTCATCAGCGAAGTGTATCTACATTGTTTGAAAAAGACTTATATCCTCGGTGAGATTCGACCGCGTTGTCATCTAGTGCTGTATAGCAGTCAGAGACGTTACCACTAAGCTATTTGGGATCAGTTACTAGGTGACCAATCAAAGTGTCTGTTATTTTATGATTTCTCAAAAAACAAAATCAGGTGAAATATTCGTAGTGTTTGACAACGAAGTGTATAATAAAGAAAATTGGCGTATATTATATTTGTACATCAAAACAGAAAGTATGTAGAAAGAGGGAAAGAGAATAAAAGTGCTTGATTCTGTATAAATTGCAACTTCACTTGCGTCAGTGAAATATACATCGCCTTATTTTACTACAGAAGCAGGCTGGCTGGGCTGACTCACTCACTGATTCAATTTCAAATCTTTAAATATTCCCATTTTTAATATTAGGACAAGGCATATTGAGCAAACAATATTGCTGTTTTCAATTAGATCTTCAAGCTTTACATAGATTTATATATAAAAATTTTTAACCAATGACGGTGATTTTGTGGATCAAATAATAATAATAATGTGGTAAATGTTTTGAACGAAGTTAGTAACGATGATTATAATGATAACAAATTATTGATAATAAGATTTATGCAGGTGGCGATAAGAAAAACAAAGGCAGTGAGTGATATGTGTATATGTAGACAATTTAATAAAACAATTACGTAAAATCTTAAAAGTTACGTAATACTAAAGGTGAAGTGGACAGATAATCAGAGTTTAAATAAATATCATGACAATACGAAGGAGATGAAAAATAATGGGGACGTGGCTAGCGAAGTCTTACATCTGAGATTATCGAGAGCAATAAAACGGACTTATACTGCCGCCACTCTTTGTTTGTCATTTTCAAGCCGACCAATTATGATTGCTCAATTGAAAGACAAGCCACCTAGCTGTCCCACTTCTATCTGCATCTAGAAATTTAGTTGCTCCTGTAGAGAAAGATATATAGGGTGAACAACTAGACAGCTTAACAAACGCATTCATGAGCATCTTTCTTCATGATTCGGAAAACGTCAAATAAAATGTATAAAAAGCTCTATTTTGGCTTATTTGATTGATAACGGTCACCAAGTGGACAAAAATAGAGCCTTCAAAGTTATCTATCGCATTCCATCGAGCCTTTTGAACGGAATTTGAATCCGCCTTTTACACATAGCCGAAGCTATGGGAATTCGAGAGAACAATTTCAGTCCTTGTATACAAAAGAAGTTTGTACTACCTTTGTCTCTCCCTTGCTTACCTAAGTAAATTCTATTCAAAACCCTCCCACCCTTTCTTATTATCCATCTTCTTCGTATTTTTATGATATCTATTTAAACTCTGATTATCTGTCCACTTCACCTTTAGTATTACGTAACTTTTAAGATTTTACCTAATTTATATATTGAATTGTCTACATATACACATATTAATACCTTTGTTATTCTTATCGCCACCTGCATAAACCTTATTATCAATGGTGCTATTGAACCATAGCCTGTTAAAACGCTTATACCTCTGGTGAGATTCTTAAATCTCGTGAATGATTAAAACTGATGTAGCCTCTTTGGTAAGTGTGAAATGCTTTGCTACTTCTACACCAATCTGTCTGCTTTAATTCCATTGGTAGATTGTTATGTTACTTATGTGAATTCTTCTGTTCTGTATCCTGCTGTAACCAACTTGAGTTTGGACGTCAGTCATCACATTAAAATTAACCTGCTTAATTAATTAATTGTGAAAGTATTTTTCAAGAGGGGAAGCAATCAGATCATTGTTTGCTACTCAGTAGCTCGACTATAAAAAGAAAATTTTCAATGTATTCATTGATTTTTAGTCGGACAGAATTACAACTTCTTTCAGTCGTCATTATCTAATAGTGTTTATCCATTTCATTGACTATAATGTAATTTAAAAAGGATTTTTGTTTTTGTTTTCTCCTCTTTTCACATTAATTAAAACTTAGTTTCTGCCTGAGTCTCCAAGATTTCTTGTTAGCGCTGGGAAAATTGAAGAAGCTGAACGTATAATAGCAGATTTATTTCGAGCTAATCGAGTTGCGCCATTACAAGGCACTCTAGTATCCGCGGCTGTACCTGTAAGTTGCATTTAATATATATATATTTTGCGAAAAAAGTGGTAATTATTTTCGCTTATATTTCTGGTGTACCACATTGTTATTATATATGTGTATTTATTGTTTTTGTTCCTATCTTTCTGCTTCTTTTTAATTCCTTTAGATTCCCAGTGGAACATAGGGGGCTTCAAGCTAGAGAGCTTTGAAGATTCGGTAGCAGTGTTTACTTTTACGGGATAGGGTTGCTAGCCAGCCTCATGCCCGAATTTCCCTCTTTCTCGGTCTTATTACCGACGCAACGAGGTAAAGGAGTGCGTCAGTGGCCGGGGATCGAACCGCGAACTACGTGAGGCGTGGTTGGCGAACATTCTATCGCTGTACCACCGATGCACATCTTTCCCCAATTACAGTGATTTCTCACTCAAAGAATTTAGCATTCACGTAAATTAGTACGTATTAATGCTTTCAATTGTAGTATGTCGTAATTCGTGGCATATCTTTTGTCTCTTCCCATCGTTACCATCTTAAGAGGGTTACATAGTCTCACACTCCTATTGTCATCTTATGCACTGAAATTAAAACGCTTGACCTTATGAATATTTCAAACGCCTAATCTTATTGCTGGTTACTGCTTTATTCCTCTTTCATTCTCTCCTCTCTCTGTACACTCACTGTAGTTTCACCGATTCTTTCTGCTTTGTGTTTTCACCTGTCAGAAGTTTGGCAATGTGAACAAATACACTATATTGCCAAGTTGTAGGTTTTACTTTTACGGATCCTAAATCATTCATATCAATGATGAAATTTTGTTGTCTGCTATCGTAGGTTTTTCTTGTAAATACAATCAATATCTATCATCTGAAGTAGTGCATATTGTGCGATTTCGATGTATTTAGGGAATTTGTTATGTTCAAGACTGAACGTGGTGGTACGTTCTCATTGTGCACTTTCAGTAGACAATATAATCGGGGAATTCTGCAACCTAAGAGTCGTATTTGCTCAAATAATTTAGAGCTGATAATCTATTCATTCTTCATCTCCCTTAGCATTTGTGTTATCTTCCCTTCAATTTGTTCCGTTTGGCCTTTCTGGCTACTTTCTTGTGAAAATTTGTTTTCATCTAACATGATGGATAACATTTTACCCAAGTAGTCTTAGTGATTCATCAGGATGATGCCAGTACCTTTACCGGGGTGGCTCCGAACCAAGTCTTCGATGTATTTCTTAATAAAGAATTGAAAAATAATATTCCATTTTTAAGAAGAAAATATGTAAACAGAAATCCATTTATTCTAGTGTAACTGGATATTTTTTTTGAGTAAAACCCAAGTGTTAATGACAGCAGTGTACTAACAAAACAAAATAGGCTGATTACCACGACTTAAACTATATTTCTTGTACATCTAGAGGCAATGCAAATTATTATTATTATTATTCATGATTTCACTCTTCGTTGTTGGTGATTTACAGGGCTGAATTCATCCACTGTTTTAATATATATAATCAACTTCAGTCACCTGCTTAGTTAATTGAGCTGTCTAGTTTTCTACAGAGCTATGAATTAACAATACTCTAGTATACTTTGCTTAGATAACCTATTTGGCTCCTTGAATGTGTGTGTGTGTGTGTAGTAGAGATGTGGCCCACTGGTTTAAGCACTTAACTTTCAGGGAGTTGGTCCCGAGCTCCACCTACTTCAGCTGGTGGTATCACCAGCCCTCACACAAAAAAACGCACGGCTCATAAGCTGGAACATGAAAGGTTTTTATTCTGACGACTGAGTTAACTTTTAGCATATCGCTTGATGTCTTCTGAAGGAACATAATATACATTGACGGGGGGAGGGTTGGAGCAAATTGTAGATTAAACGGCATTCCCTCGAATGAGACGATATGCTGCAAATTTATTGGTTTACTTCAAGATTCTGTGTAAGAAAATTTTGTACTCCATAGAGACATGTTCAGGATGAAGCTTATTATTAATCAGTTATCTAAATTAGTAGATAATGCGTTTGGTCTTCTAGTATGTCTTTATGACTATACTTGTTATACAAAAGGCCTCTGTAAGCCATCTGTAAGCACCAAAGTACATATCTGGAATTGAAAATTTCTTACACCTGTCACATTCACAGAGAGCACTGATATCAGAACACACCCTGTGCACTGTGATAGAGCGTAATTCCACTATGGGTAAACTTTCACATTGTTTGTCATACAGCAATATTTACTGATGACTACGTTTCGAGCACAATTTCCACTCATAATCATATCAAAGAACTACTCACACAACTTTCTAACTTCATTCTTATAATTCCATCACTTTTCCATCGCTTGATTTGATTAGTAGTAGTATTTTTCATATTTCCGCTTTGAGTGGTGAATGATTCCTATTGTACGTGTTGTGTCGTGTGTAGACTCGATGAATCAGGATTGAGTTATCAACCTCCCTGGTTCTCCACCTACCTAGATTACTTTTTGGAATTTTCACCCTCTCCCACCCTATTGTGTGGTTGTGTGTTAGTGTATGGAGTGCGATTTCTGAGTGCTATTTTCCAAATTACTTATCTTCTTGAGGTGAACCATTCTTACCATAGCTAACTTTTTATATCCCGACTATCTGACTACTCCCAACCTACTAGTTTGGCTGACCTATGTAGTTGACCTCACTCACAATTATTGCAGGGTATTTTGTAAATTATAATATTGTGCCTAATTAGGTCCACCGACAGGGTTCTTAAGCCTACAGAGCTTGTCCTATCTGAGTGCGTTTATAGGTTTGAATGCCACTCAAGTTCCTGACTTATTAAGAATCCTACTGTTATGTACTGGTCGAGAATTTAAAAGTCCTGACGCAAGAAAGACGAAAATCAGAAGACCACTAGGTTTGTGATGATACTTCTATTTTCCAAACACAAGGAGAATCAATGTCACACAAGTGTGTGAACACAATTTAGTGTGAATGTCCGCACAAGTACGTGAGCGAATGTTCAAAATGAACAAATCAATAAACAGTCTTAAAATAATTGGCTAATTGTAATGGAATATCGATCCATATATACCTAGCAAATATAACAGACTGTCAAACAAACACATATTATATGGGTACATATCACCAAGATCAGACTGTCAAACAAAACACACATATTATATGGGTACATATCACCTACGTAGGGAGGGTCTCAGATGTCCCCTCCCTCCTTATAAGGTAAACCCAGTTTAGATGACTTATATTCTCTCTTACTTATGTTATCACAACCAGTTTCACAATAATTTTTATTTTACTTCTGACCTTTTTTCATATTTCTAATGAATTTTATAGAGCTCGGCTTGTTAGACACTTAACTAAGTCTGCCTTCACAGACAGTTAACGGATGAGATGAATTAAAGTCTAAATATCTATTAGCCAAATGCGTTGGTGTTGCTTCTTATAAACGCTAGTGTGTAGTTCACCTTCTTCTATTCATTTTATTTTACAATCTAACATCACAGTTAATTCTCCTTGTTCATTTTCCGATTCAAATGTGAATTTTATTCCATCTACTAGTGAGTTTGTATGTGCGTGTAAAGAAGCTAGAGAGAGATATGTTCTGTTTTTAACACTCTGTGTGAGAAAGTATCATCCACATATCTCCACCATATTATCCTTGGAGTAGGATTAAATGTATTAAGAGCAATAGTTTTCTTTTTATCGTTTTCGCTTTCATTGCCTAAGAAGAAATCAACTCAGCCTGTTAGTGGCGTATATCTTGGTAAATGACACTGTGACACCATCATCAGGCTACATTTTGTTTGCTGTTTTTACACGTGATTATCACTTTAAGTCGTTTTTTCATCATCAGAATAGTTGTTTTTTGATTTTCATTCTTCATTGTTCCATCGAAAATAACACCTCAAGGCTTAATAGTATGAACACTATGATCGAATCACTCCTAATGTCTTAAAACCTATGTGAACATAATTTATAAAATTGTAAAACAGATTCAGATGAATCTGTTTTTTATTTTCTTCATGACTCAGTGGGTATTTTCGGTGATTATAAATTTGTGTTGGAAGTTCATGAGTAGGAGAATCCTCGCTGGCCACACACCAATGTTGGGATTTGATTCCAGGTTGTCACACTCGTGAAACCTCGCCCAATGGATATTAAGCCCAGAAAGGAGTGAACTTTGCGCGTGGGGATCGCAGTCCCATGCCGTAAAAGAAACGCATCAGTTAGTGAAACTTCAAAGCCCGCAGCTTGCAGTCGTACGTTCCACTTGGAACTCAAAGGGGTGAAAAGAAATGCAACAATAATTGCCCAGTATTATTGATTCTAGGACTTTATTTTTGACCAAATTAATTTTTGTTTGTTCTAGTAATTCTCCGACTAAATTTTCATACTTTCAAATGGCCACGTGTCTCTATTGCTTATAGTGGATGTATTGTATAAAATTGCTCTTGTCCACTTTACCCTCATTGCTATAAAAAAAGCAAAACGGTTATATAATAATACATTGTATCCTGGTATAAAGGAAATGAATAATTGATTGAAGAAATACCTTCAATTTGTCCCCAATTCTTTGGCTGGGATCATTTTAAATTGACCTCAGCAGTTATTGTAAGGAGTGTTGTTTCTAATTTGTTTTTACAAAAGACAATAAAAATAAAAGTATCTCCTCTTCGTGCGTTTCCATGGTACGAAGGTCTCGTTTAGCTGTATTTGTTGTTTATCTAACTAAATAGATTTAATAAGGCATTAATTGCTACGCCCTATATAGGGTATGTGCTGCATTATCGGTGTTTTATTTGCTCATTGTCTATTTCGAAATCTAGCAGAACAGAACAGAACAGAAGAAGACTGACTTCAGTGATGAGGCGACGGTCGCATCATGTGTGTCTAGTTTTCTTTTTTAAAGTGTATATATTCCGTGAATTGTCTCTACTCTTCATAATATATATAGGAATGTTGTTTTATGTAAAAATAAAAGATGCTTCTTAATTCTTTTACATGTGAACGATGCATTCGTCAACAAGGTTGACTGT